TCTCATCTTTTTAAGTGGGAGAACTTGCACAACTGGTGGCTGACTAAATACTTTTTTGCCCCACTGTATACTCTGGTCTTCCTCTCCATGGCTTCCTGCCCTGATGAATTTCCCAGGGGTGCTCATAGACTGCATTTTCAGGTTCCCAGGAAAACTAGCGAAGGCTTCCTTCCCTGCTTGAGTTGACAATCAGACTGCAGCCCACCTCACAGTTTCAGGGCAGAGTCCACTAGCAACCAGAAAGCCAGTCTATTGGTTGCCCTTATGTCTCCAGTCTCCCCTCCATAAGCCACTCGCTTTTTATGCACCTCCTACAATTACATTTGCCATCACACAGAATTCACACTGCATGGCTTCTGCAGGTGTCTTATTTAAAGAAACAAGCAACTTACCTATTACAGTGAAGAGTATAAAGAAGATGCAATATGCTCGATTCTTGGAATAGGCAGGAATCATCACTGTACAACAGTTAAAAAAAACAATAAATAAGATTTAAGAAATGTTATGTTTCAAGGTAATAATGTGCCTACCCAAATCTGAAAGAGAGAGATTATGCAGCTTTTAACAGTGAAACCAACGTGCCAATGTACTCATCACTATCTGGCACACACATCCTTGATGCCCAAATTAGGGTCTGCAAAAGTCTACAGTCCTGGTTTTGGTTAGAAACTAGATAAAACATTAGAATAGCCCTACTAGATCAGGCCAAGCCTTGTCTTAGTCTAGCATGCTTTCTCTCACAAACCCCTCTGCTAACCAAATATCTCTGGATTGCCAGAAAGCAGGATTTAAAAGGGAACATGCCATTTTCCCCCTGGTCTTCCCCTGCAACTGATATTTGGAGCACTCATTGGGAGTCAGGCTTTCTTTAAACCTATGTAAACAAATATATAAAATAAATTCTGCCCCCAACCCAGAAGTAACACCCAGCCACAAGATAACAGCCCTTGGTAGACCTGTTCTTCATGAATTTATCCACTCTTCTAACATCATCGAAGTTAGTGACTATCACTACCTCTTGTGATAATGAATTCCACAGATTAGTTATCTTGTGTGTAAAAAAAGGACTTTCATTTGGGTGTTCTAAATCTTCTTCCAATCAGCTTCACTAGCTGACTCCTGGTCCTAGTATTTTGACAGAGAGAGAAGGAGAGAGAGAGAGAGAGCTCTCTGTCTACTCACACAATGCCATGCATGATTTCATAAACTTCAGTCATGTCCACCATCACTGACCTTACTTTCAAGTGAAAGAATGCCAATTTTTTAGCCAGTTTTCATAGGGAAGATTTTCAATCTCTCTGATCGTTTTGATTACCCTCTTCTACACTGCAAACGTGGCAACTGTACTCCAGATACAGTATTCCAGATACAGACATGTCATAGGTTTGTATAAGAACATTACAATATTTTCAGTCCTTTTCCTAATAATTCCTAACACAGTATTGGTCTTTTTCACAGCTGCTTCACTGAATGTCCATTATGACCCAAATAACTTTTTCGTGGTTAAACAGCTCAGATCCCCCTATCGGTGTATATGTGAAGTTACGCGGTTGTACATAATTTTACTCTTAACTTAAACTGAGCATTCTATGAAGCATATTTGCTATTTGGTTGATGATTCACCTAGTTTAAAGATTTTTCTGGAATTCCTTACAGTCACTTTTGTTTTTACCATCCTAAATAGTGGATATCATCAGCAAACTTGGCCAGTCCATTTCTTACCCATCTATCAAGATCATTTATGAACAAATTAAAAAACTTCTGTCCCAGCACAGATCCTTGAGAAAACCCATTTAATTACTTTTTCTGAAAAAATTACCAACATATTCCTCCTCTTTATTTTCTCTTCTAACCAGTTAATAATCTGTAAAAAGGATAGATTCTCTTATCCCATAATCCTTAAATTTATTCAAAAGCTTCCAAACTTTGTCAAAGGCTTTTTGAAAATCCAGGTATATAGAGACACCTGCATCTACCCTGTTGCTAACACTCAAAAAACTCCAGCACGTTGGTGAAGTAGAACATACATTTGCAGAATTAATGTGGATTTTCTTTTGTTGGTCCTATCCATAAATTTCCATATCCAGCACCAAATGATGCTCAGCTTTCCTCCACTGATCAATTTAAAAACTGCTCTGTCCCCTTTTTGATATTATGTGCCAGTAGTCTGGTTTAATTTCAGTTCAAGTCAAGCTCATAGCTCTTGTAAAGGTTGGCTTGTCCCTAAATATTCCCCACTACCTAGCAAATCTAAGCCCCTCACCTTATCCCTGACTCTGCCTGGCTAGCTGGCCTTGCATGTGGAACAGGTAACAAATTTGCAGATCCCTTGTGTCAACTATTAAGTTGACTCCCTCCTCTCTTTAAACAGCACTTCACAAGCTTTCCCCCCTTCTAGTGCTCTCCCACCAGTACTTGCCATGCATTCCACCCCAACACATCTGGAGGGACCAAGCTGAGGAAAGCTGCTTTATAGTCCTATAAAAACATGAACCAATGACTATAAACCTTTGGGTGAATAAACAAATCGGGCACTTGGAAGAGGACACATGCAGAAAGATTCCCTAAGGCATGGTAGGAAGCAATCAGGATTTAATCCTATGGGTAATTTTATGATGGAGGGGAATAGAACTCAGCCTAATAGTTAAAAAAATCTTTAAGAGTCTGCGTTCCTGTTCACAGATACTGTATTATTGTCTTCCAGTCTTCTTTAGCTGAAGGCAAGCAAAGCAAGGCCCGAGAATGGAAGAAGTTGGGCCGAGAAAGGACATGCCACCTCTCATGTTTCTGTAGAAACTGGATCAGCATATAGTATGAGAGAAAGCAAAGCCATTTAGATCCACTTTTCCAGGAAAGGGAGGAGCCAAATGTCCCTTAAGAATAAAGAATCTCTGAGTTTAGCCACAGATTAAGAAACGAAGAGGGAAATATTTTTGGGAAAAAAATCCTTACCATCTGGATTGTTTGCGGTTGTCAACAGTACCAGCAATGAAGTCAGTGAATCTGGCAAATTATGGAAATATCCTTGCCATTCTTTATCCTGTTGACCATCCTAACCATAGAGACCCAAACTGTTAGCAAACAAACACCGAGCGACCAGTCAAAGGTACTTTACAACTATACACTGTCACCTATGGTCACCCATTCAATCCAATCAAATATGTGAATATATATTTAGTTTAGTGGGCTGAATGGAATCTAGTCTACACAACCCAAGATAATCAACCCAATTACTTCTGTTGCAGTTACTTCAGGCAGACAAGTATTTCAATATGCGAATATAAAATACATTGTTCAAACAGGAGAAAAAAGAAGTGTAGAGACATATGCCTTTACTGACCCATCTGGTTTCAGAGAGTACTTTTTTTTAGTAACTTGTTTTCCAGTCAAAACAAGCTACTTCTACATAATGCACTCTATGTTTTATCATTTACTATTTGGAACCTGTTCATTCTATACCACATTATTATTGGAAATTCAATCACATAAAATGAAAGCATTGCAAATTGTAATTCCAAATAATCCAACAAGTTTTATTTTTCCTTCATGTGACTCTAGGTGGAATGCAAATTCACATTTTAAACTCCACAAGAGAGGGGAGTGATTGAGAACACAGGAAAGGCAGGCAGGCAAAGAATTACACACCCCTCTGGACCATCCATCTCTGATTCAAAATTCTGTCTCCCACAGCAAAAGGCCTATTTTTATCCAGACTTGTTGCTCATGCATAGTCAGCTCTGAGTGAATACGCTTGATGAGAACTGACACAGAATTTACAGGAACCAGCTCCAAATGAATGAAAAAAAAAGCACACAGGGAAGTACAGCAAAAAAAAAAGATCAAAGGCCTTCACTTTGTATAATCAAAACTTGTTTAATACGACCTGTCTGTAGGAGATGACATTTCACTCAGGAAACTATTTGGGCAAAACATTATTAGGCTGCAGGGCTGAAATGTGTAATTTTTCTCTCACAATTCCCTGGTAGTTTTTCAATAAGGTGCATTTTCAAAAATGGGTCTTTCTGTGACAATGGAGAAGTGAAATCTCGACATGCAACCTTAACTACTGCAAAATTAAAGGGAAAATCTCCCCATTGCAACAATAGAGACAAGGGAGGTGAAAATTATTGAAAGGGATTTGTATTTTCATCCACAACTTTCTAGAAGGAATACTGAAAATGTTCAGGAGAATGAGAGGGAAAAGATGGCAGACCTCTACTATGAAATCGCCCTTCACAGAAAATGCAGAGGTTACTCAGCGTCTGCTCTACCAGGGAATGTAAGACACAGGAAAGAATAATGTCTTGTAATTTTATAGACAATATGATAATGGTATGAATAATTATAAATAAACTGATGAGTAAAGGAAAAACAGTTACCCAGATTTATCATAATGTTATGCCTAAAATGTGAGGGGGGAGGGAATTTACATTTCAGGAAAAAACTGTTTATTTAAAAAATTATACATCTTTTTATATGTATATATTTAATGAACCAAGATTTAAATATCTGTGTTACTTACTTTTGTCCGAGCAAACAGTAGTATGCCAAACATGGTAAAGAGAAACAGGTGAACAGCTAAAAGCAGCATAACACTATTAGGGAGAAAATATAATGCCAACATTATTTCTTCATCACAACACAGGACATATGTAGGAAATACAACAACAGTCAGAAGTGTAGAAGAAAAAAAAATTATTCCTAAAGAGGAAGATGTGTCAAATGAGGAAAATAAGCCAAATGCAACTTCAAATGGTGATGAAGAATTTTTCGCTGATGATAGCAGGCCCCCTCCTACAGAGACCCCCTCCTCTCTCACCAAAGTCTCAGCTACACTCAGAGCAGAAATCTGCTGTCAACTACTACTGGGCAGGGAGATGTCATCACTGCTACTTTTGGGGGTTTCTTTATTCTTCCAGCACTGGTTCCAACCCAAACTTATTCAGCTTTTCATTATTTTCTTTCTCAAATGATAGCATAATGTGAAAGAATGCATTTATCAGAGACTGGCAAAAACTAGGGATGTGCAAAATGCACCATTTCGGAGGTACAACGTTTTGGGGACCATTGGAACATTCAGCTTTTCTTCTACCCAGATCCATCAGCTTTTGGAGTTTTCCTGAAGGAAATCTTCCAGAATAATGTTTGTGGTGTTTTACTTCTGGAAAACTGCCCATTTATCCCCAGGATAGATGTTGCCCAAAATATTACATCACCAGAATGTAAATTTTGCATATCTCTGGCAGGCACTACCCCTTGTTACATGCCTTGCAATTTCTGGCAATGTCCTCTTGATGCTTTTTAGTGTTTTTTTCATCATTGAAGAATTCTGGAGAAGGAAGAAAGGTCGAAGGATACGTCTTATCCTCAGATTCTAAAGAAGAAAACATATTTGGTAATGACTAAAAAAGCAAAACAGTATGAATAGAAAAACTGCCTTCTGTATAGCAAGCTATTGTTCTATACTCAACATTTATTTACTGTGGCTGAGGCTGTTTTAACTAAGTTATTAGCTTATCAGTTACGAGGCACATTTAGAATTTTTGAACTATCCTGACAAATTTCTATAGGATATGCATCTCCTGTGGCCTTCCACATGCCACACAAAGGCAGGTGCAGCTCTCAAGCCTATGTGCTTGGTACAGCTTGTAAAGGACACAGGTATACTGGGGAGGCCTAGGGATGGGGTATGCTAGAAAGAAAATTCAACTGCTGTGTAGGTACAGAATAAATAATGGAAGGGGAGACCTGGACAGAGGCCCTGAAAAATGACTGGTAATCTGTCTCAGGCAGGATTCTTTGGGGATGTAGCCAAATCATCTTCTCAACAGGCCTAGTAAAAACGTTAGGTTGGAAACCAGCCCGGCATTACCCCTCTCCCAAAGACACATTCACCAAGTCTTGTACCCATCCTGGCCTATAAAAGTCAGTTTATTTCTTTGTTTTAATGTTAACTAAATAACTGTAGCCTAACAGTAATATCTGACATTACAAAGTTTTGTTACAGGTCCTACTTGTTTCCTCTGTAAACGGTATAATTTACTGATTGTTTAAAATCAGTATCTTTCCTTTTACCTCCCCAGGTACCAACCTGGAAATTAGCACAGATTTGCTTACCCATTTTATCCTCATAACTCTATGAAATAGGTTAAGCTCAGTCATCCATGTGCTTTCAGTGTGGTTTAATAATTAAAACTTCAGCCTGGGTGATCAATAACCTACTTCACTGGGTGACCTTGGGCAGTCATCAGTAATTAATCTAAACTTACCTTGCAGTAGCATTAGGAGGATAAAATAATGGGGAGGGGGCAGTCACACATATCATTCTGAGCTTCTTGGGGGAAGGGCAAAACTAAAAGGTGTCATTATTATTACTGCTTTTGCTATCAATCATCATCATACGTAATTGCTTCATTGCAGAATTCAGATCGAGGCCATGCTAGTTCAAAGTTTTCCATATGTAAACACAGAATACACACTGACAATTTTGGGCACACGACCAAGCAGCGTTAGATGTTTTATTTTTCCCAATCCCACATCAAAATGATCATGGTCCATCTTTGAATCCATTTATTCCCTGCCTCCCTGACATCCATCCAAGCATGCACGTGCCTTACTTCATGACAGGAAGAACTCAGCGAAATACTCCAGTCTACAAGGGAGGTGAGCAGGACCAGGATGTAGGCCATTAACCACTTGGTTTTCCGAAATTCATCCCATCCTATTAAGTAGCTCTAGAGAGGTAACAAATTTGAATATCAGTTAGGTTACTGTCGCAAGCAAAAGGATCCAATTAATTCTCTTACATTTTGGAAAAGAGCCAAACCAGCTACTAGGAAAATGGAAGTTTTGCTCATGTGCTAGCTTTGGAGACTATGTTCCCAATCCCAGTCTCTAAAGAAACAATGATTTAATCTATTTGGTATATAGCTCTGGGGAGAAACATGCCATCTATATTCCAGCCAAGCATTATACTTGGCTTCTGAACAGCACGCCATGGGCTATGCTCCAAAAAGAGGATGGAGGTGAGACAAAACCTACATTTAATTTAAGTTTAAAGATTACATTTAAATTAATTGCAATTGATCTGGCGTCTTTCTAAGCATTTAACATTGTCTCTTTTTCTTACACTAAAGATTACAATTTGGCAGAACCTTTCAGAGGAGCTCTGGGGATTAAACGCCAGGGTTTGGGACCCACTAACAGCTCAGGGTGTCAGACCACGTGCCTCTAGTTTAAACCTTCAAAAACCAGAATTGCCTGAGAACTGTCTTAGTCTCTGGAGATTTCATTTTTGACTTGCAAACAGGCACAGAGATTTTAGCAAAGCCTTGTCCAAACCTGGCTTCCCCCAGATTACAATTCTCATTCAGCACAGCCCACAGGCTGCTAACTTACATTATAGAACAAATGATCCATTGCAACTGGGAGAGTTAATTTGCAATGATTAAAACAACCCCTTTACGACCCTGGTAAGTTACATACAACTAAGAGGAGATCTGCATCATCATCATCCTCGCAGCTGCCAAGAAATCCTAAGACAAAAGAAACAAATCTCTCCTGCTATGCCACTTATTTAGCATTGGATTGTCATTCAGAATAAGGTATTTATGGGTGGGTATGTTGTTTCTTGCTACAGTCACTGTTTATTCAGCTGCAAAACCTATGGTTGTAACAGCCCACAGAGGATGCCAAGGAGATGCTGCAGTTTGTGATGCATCCATCTTTCAGTATGATCCTTACGTTAAGATGGTGTTTGCAAGGTACTATAATCTATCTATCTATATCTATGATATATGTTTTATTTATATATAAGATATATGTTTTATTTATATATTTAGAAAATTTATATAGCCACCTATCTTAAATACATATACCTGGACAGTTCAGGCATTGTAACAAACTGCCAATACAACTGCTCCTATATTGGGTGCGACTAACATCCTGGCCCAACACTTGGGGAACAGCCAGAACTTCACACCCTTCCAGAAGGCCAAAAGGGTTGAGCCTTCCAGATCTCAGGAAGGAAGGTTGTTGTATAGGGCAGGTGCTGCAACTGAGAAATCACATCTCCTAAGTCCTGCCAGATGACACAGTTTAATAGCGGGGACCTGGATCATGCCCATTCTGTCAGATGTGGTGGGAAAGGAAGAAAACCTTGGGGAGAGGTGGTTCTGCAAGTAACCTGACTCTGTGCCATGCAGGGCTAAAAGGTGATAACCAGCACCTTGAATTGCGCCCAGAAGCATACTAGGAGCCAGCGCACCTTGTAACAACAATGTAAGCTTGGCAGACCTTGGTACACTCTAAACAGTGCACCCTGCTGCATTCTGGACCAAATGAAGCTTCTGGGTGTTTTTCAAGAGCAGCCGTATGTAGAACACATTGCAGCAGTTAAATCGGGAAGTGACTAAGGTACGAAAGACTGTGAGCAGAGCCTCCTGGTCCATGAGGGCTAATCCGGCATGTATCAATGAGACCTGGCTGGGTCCAGAAGGGGGACCGGTCCTTTTGGAGATATGCCCAGGCGGGTTTTGGGTGTGGCATCAGCCAAAACTCCAGGGCAGGGGTGGAAGTGTAGTGATTGTCATCTAAGACTCACCTATGGCTTTCAGGGGCGCTGCACCACAGGTCACTGGATGGGAGACCCTGTTCATTAGGTTGGGCTCTAGGGATCAGTTGAGACTGTTGCTGTTGTACCAGCCTCCCTGCTGCACACAGTGACCTCCCTGGCTGAGCTCCTTGACTCCATTTCTGGGTTGGCAGTGGAGTTCCTCAGACTTACGGCTCTGGATGACTTCAGTCTGCCTTCTATAGGAATGGGGTCTGAGGTGGCTTGGGAGTTCATAGCTACCATGATGGCCATGGACCTATCTCAGATCATGCCCTGATTTCCATGGGATTCTCTAATACCACTATCCACTGCAGAGAGGCTGGACCCATTCAATTGGTCTGCCCCCAGCGACTGATGGACCCGGATGGGCCCATCTGAAGTGTTGGTCACTGCTTGGAATAAAGGGGTGGCTGAGGCTTTGGATCAGGTTGCGCCCATGCAACCTCTCCTCTCTTGGGGATCCCCTCGCTCCCCGTGGATCATGGAGGAGTTGAGGGAGATGAAATGAGAAGAGGGACCTCTAGAATGTTGCTGCCACTCAACGAAGGACAAACTTGACCAAACACGCGTTATAACGGCTATTAAGGCCTACCTCGTTGGCAGTAAGGGCAGCAAAGTGCCAGTATTTCTCCGCCCTTATTGCATCCACAAACAGCCGCCCTGCAGCCTTACTCGGGTGACATGAGTCCTCTTGGGTAAACAGGGCTCAGAGAACCTCTTGCAGGGGCATGCAGCAGAATTTGTTTAGCACCTGTCAGGCAAAGTCACTTGGATTTGCTTGCAGTTGGTACAGGTCCAGAGGAGACGCCTGGGGAGGAGTCTTGCCTGGTTATATGGGAATGGTTTGAACCTGTTGGACCTGAAGAAGGACAGGGTCCTTAGGAGCACGGTCTTTTAGATCCATGCCCCTTCTGGCTTGTCAAAACAGCCCGGGGGTTGTCATGTGAGTGGGTTCTAGTGGTGGTTAATTATTCTTTGAGGGAGGGGGTTGTTCCTTTACCTCTTAAGGAGGCTCTGTTTCTCCCCCTCCTCAAGAAGCCATCACTGGACCCCACCATAACGGACAATTTTCATCCAATATCTAACCTCCCTTTTGGGGAAAGGTGGTTGAGAAAGTGGATGCACAGCAACTTCAAAGGACCTTGGAAGAAGCATATTATCTGGATCCTTTTCAGTCAGGATCCAGGCCTGGGTATGGGATGGAAATGGCATTGGTCACGCTTTTCAATGACCTCTGGCAAGGACAGGATGGGGGTTGTGCCCATCCTTGCCCTACTTGACCTCTCTGTGGCCTTCAATACCATCAACCATGGTATCCTTCTGGATCAGCTCAGAGGATTGGGGGTGGGCGGCACAGTGTTGTGCTGGTTTGCCTCCTTCCTCCAGGGTCAATTCCAGTGAGTGGTGATTGGGAAGGAGAGGTCTTGCCCTCGGCCCCTACTATGTGGGGTGCTGCAAGGTTCAGTGCTTTCTCCTCTCCTATTTAACATCTACATGAAGCCACTAGGTGATCTCCTCCATCACCATGGGGTGAGGCATCATCAGTTATGCTGATGATACCCATTTACATATCTCTGACCCTGGTGAATTAAGCAATGCTGTGAACATCTTATCCTGGTGCCTGGAGGCTGTGAGGGTCTGGATGGGGAACAACAGGTTTGAGCTGAACCCTGGCAAGACTTTAGGTTTTGGGGCCTACTGATTCTAAGGCTATACCATCTTTGGTGCTGGATAGGGTAGCACTACCCCAGACAGACCCAGTGCACAATTTGGGGGTCCTCCTGGACTCATGATTCCTGCTCAAGGAGCAGGTGGCCATCGTGGCTGGGAGGGCCTCTGCACAGCTTCATGTAGTGCATCAGTTGCACCCGTTCCTGAATTGGGAGGCTCTGCTCACAGTCACTCATGCCCTAGTCACCTCCAGATTGGATGACTGTAATGTGCTCTACCTGGGGCTGCTCTTAAAGAATATCAGGAAGCATCAGCTGGTGCAGAATGCAGTGGCACGGGCAGTTATGTGTGCTTCTAAAACAACACATGCCATACCTCTGCTCCACGAGCTGCATTGGTTGCCAGTTTGCTTCCAGGTCCAATTCAAAGTGCTAGTTTTAATCTTTAAAGCTCCATGGCAGGGGACTGAGTTATATGAGCAACCACATCTCCACAATTACATCTGCCCATCCCATTAGATCTGGCAGAGAGGGCATGTTTCGGATCCCATCTGCTAGGGACCTACACCTGACGGGCTCCAAGAGGTGGGCCTTCTCTGCCTTGGCATCTACCTGACAGAATATTCTCCCTCCTGAAGTGAGGTTAGCTCCATCCTTTTTAATGTTCTGTAAGTCCCTCAAGACCTGGCTTTGTCATCAGGCCTGGGGGCCCCAGGGGACCAGGAATATCTTAAGGTGGCTCTATCACTGTGTTTAATCTACTCTCTCCTGTACCGGATAGTTAATATGCCTGTTCTTTAATAATTGTTTTTTATATATTTCTTGCTTTATTTTAATGGTTGTATGCCATCCAGAGTCACTTTGTGTGAGATGGGCAGCCATACAAATTTACTAAATCAAGTAAATAAAATAAAAGCAGGCACAACTGGCACACAAGATGGATTTGTTCAAAAACCCATTAGCCACAGCTGCCACCTGTTCTTCGAACAGGAGCTGTGAGTCCTGGAGGACCCCAAATTGCATACCAACTCTATCCAAGGGAGTGCTACCCCATCAAGAGTTAGATGGAAAATTTCCAGATTCAGGAGTCCAAAACCCCAAAGCCACTCTGTCTTACCGGGGTTGAGTCACAACCGGTTCTTCCCCATCCAGACCCTCACAGCCTCCAGAAACTGGGAAAGCACTTGAAAGCATCACTTGTCCAGCCAGGGGTGGACATGTATAATTACATATTATGTATAATTGTAATTATATATCGTCAGTATATATGATATTTCACCCTGTGGCAAAGAATGACCTCACCCAGTGGTTCCATGTAGATGTTAAATAGGGGTGAAGAGAGAACTAATCCCTGAAGCACTCTACACAGAAGGGGCCTCTCCCCCACTCCCAACAATACCAAGTGGAACCAGTGTTGGAGGAAGGAGGAAAACTACTGAAAAACGGTGTTCCCCACTCCTAACCCCCAAACGTAGCCCAGAAGGATATATTGAAAGCTGCTGAGAGATGCAAGAGGGCCCTCCAAAGGTCATCCTCAAGTTCAATCAATGCTGTCTGAGTGCCATAATTTGCCTGAACCCTGACAGAAAGGGACCTGATAATCCACTTTCTCCAGCAAGCTTTGAAAATGAGCAGCTGCCACCTTCTCATCAACCTTCCCTAAAAAAGGTGGGAAACTAGGCCAAGTTCTCCAGCACATGATATGATATATATCTCAGAGTTCACTAACCTTTACAGAGACATCCGCTATAAAGACAAGGAAGCAAAGCAGTTCAATAATTTCAGTCAGGCCACAAGGAGGCTCCCAGGCTTCTGAGCGATATCGAACATCTGATGTGGCAGTAAGTGAAGAAGGCGTTTCAATGAAAGCAAGAGCCAGGATTAGTGTAATGGTGAGAATCAAAATCCTTCAAGAGAATGAAAACACAAGTGTGGCAATTAAAGGGAAAGACAGGCCAGAAGTTCATTTGCCAAAATGATGCATGTCATAAAGTGATAAAGGAATATGTGTTTTCTGAAACACTGTCTAATGGTGAAAAATAACTCGGTTGGCAGAAACCTCAGAGTCCTATAAAGAAAGGAGCCCAGTCAGTTCCTGCTTAGTTGCCTGTGGCCTGCACAACCTTGCCTCTGAAGTTGTCAGCCACAGTTGCCAGCAAAGCATCAGGAAATCTATTGTTTAGGCCATGGTCACTAAACCCTGAAGCTCAACACTGTCCTCACAGAGTCTGCTCATATTTTTAAAAAGTCCTAAAAGAGATGCAATTAGAAAAAAACTAAAATACTGAAAATTGGAAGCATCTGTGGAATTAGAGAAAGCAGCAGTTAAAATCAAAGAAATAGAACAGTATGGGGAAAAAAAATTCTCACCACTGGCAAACTTCTGAATAATACCACCGATAAAGCCACAGGGAGTTAGAATCCACACGGTGATTTATAGAACGATACTAGAGAGGTGAAAGACAGAGAGGTGATTCAAGCATCACTTTTAATTTGCTCTTCAAGTATGGAAGTTAAAGTTTTATTGGCAAATAATGACTCTTTTTTTATAATAGCTTTATTAAAATTTAAAAGAACCACAGTAAAAACTAACAAGGATATTGAAAGAGAAAATAAGAGAAGAAAAAGAAAAAAATAGTAAAGATCTAAAGTGCAGAAAGCAAGAAGGAAAGAAAAAAAAGAACTGACTTCCGACCCTCCTTGCAACAGATATAAATAACAATATACATAAACTCTTGCTCTAAATTCACCAATCACTTCCGTTATTTCTATTAACCCATATTATTTCTAATAATCAAATCCATACAACATAGTTTCATTTTTTTCTGTTTCCCGCAAAAAGTCCAAAAAAGGTTATACATATAAAAACCCTACAGTTATTATATATAACAAATAATAACTCTTTCAAAGAAACATCTGTTAATGACTAGGCAAATCTGGGCCAAAGTAGACATTCTGTAAACATGAAACATGCAGTTAAGTATCAGTTTTGTTTTAGTAAATTACAGGTAGAGCTTGTTTTTTATCAGTTTACAGAACATTTACCATAGTCCACAGTTTCTGTGAGTTGCATTCAACAGGGTCCTTCTGTCAGCAGAATGGCATCTCTGCCACATCGATTTCCCCGTGGCATTTTTAGAGAAGTGCCTGAAGGCAGAGAAAGCCCTACTGACTGAATGGAAGCTTCTTCAATAAGAGACTCCAAAGCTACTAGCGACGTCATGGGCAAAAGCTATGCCATCAGTATTGCCCAAAGATGTAAAAACACAACATTCACATAACATTTCTTTACAAATGTTCTGGATGCTTTCTTACTTCATAGATGATAAATCTAATCACAAACTTTGTATATAAATCAACATCTCGGTAGGAAAGAAGAGTACTGGAGCTTTGACTAACAGTCCTTTAATTAAAACAGTACACTTGGGCCAAAGTATATTAGAGGTGAACTTTTACCTGAACTGCATCTTCAATGAATACTACAGCTTGGTTGAAGTAGAGATCAGGGTCATCAATAACTGCAAGATTCAAAAATACAGTGGTTATAAAATGGTTATACAATGGTGTTCTTCTGTTTATTTGGGGGTGTTCAAACATATTAGGTAACACGCCTTCATGATTCAAAGCTATTTTACGAAACAATAAAAAAGAATGAGGAAGAGAAACTGCACACCCCTCTGCTGACTGACATCAAGAAAAGACCAAAGAAAGAAACTGTTTTTCGTTTAAGTTACCTTAACAAATTAGCCTTTTTATGACATGTTATCAACAATATTTTGAAAGCTAAATTATAAGGAAATCTTATCTCTCCAGTGTACTTCTCAAACTGTGGGGAGAGGGTGGCCAAGACAAGATATGAGCCTTACTTCAATCATAAGTACTGTATTCTGCAATTTTAAACACACTCTTTCTCCCTCACTCACACACCCATGTACACTGCCTTTCTCTCTCTCTTGAGCCCAGCCCCCAATTCTGCAATATAAGTATGACAATCATGTTAAACTCTTTAACACTATGGTAAGAATTACTGAAATAACATGCACGAGGAACTATGACTTTGTAATATATCAGGCAGTAGACTTATATTTCTCCCCAACCAACTCATTACAGAAGAAGGAAGAGGAGCAAGAGGGGGAGGACAAATATCTTTAAAGTATAACATGATGCCCAATGCCTACTCCACATAAATGTCATTCTATTAAAGTTATGGAGCACTGACAAATGCTGCTAGTGCTCCCTTACTCTGAATACTACTAGAGGTGTGGTACAAAGAGTCTATGAGGTCCTTGTGCAGTTTTAATTTTTAATAATTTCACTTTTTATATAAGATATAAACAAATTAAAACTGCACAAGGACTTTATAGAGAGACCCTTTATGTGCTGAATGAATAAATGGAATGAAATCACTAATGGGCTCCATGAGGACTACAAATCTGATATTTATTCTAACTAGAAAGAGAGTCCATCAAGGAAAAGGTTGATCTTTATGTGGTACTATTAGAAATCTAATTCTTACAACACCTGTTCAGGTAGCATCCATGACAACTTTTCACAAGCTTCGGTTGGTATACCAACAATTCCTGAATATAGATAAATTATTTTGCAATGTCCAAGAGGTAGGTATAAATCTTTTGCAGCAAAAACAACAAAAGTCTTTAAGGTGCCACAAGACTATGGACATTGTAGGAGGAGAGCTGTGTTAGTCTATGGTAGCCAAACATCAGGAGTCTGGTAATACCTTTTCTAACAAATTTTATTAAAAGACAAACTTTCATGAGCTGCAGCTTATGGCATCAGTTACACAGATTCCACTCTATGCATCTGGTGAAGTGAACTGTAGCTTTTGAAACCTTAAGCCTTTTAATAAAATGTGTCAGAAAAGGTACTACCAGACTCCTGATATAACACCCCAGCTGATTACCTCACAAGGTTCTCTGGATCACAGTCCATTTCATCAGATCAAGTGGAGAGTGATCCCTAAAACCATCATGTAATAATAAATGTGTTGATCTTTATACTGCTGAAACAGCTAGCTGTTGCTTTGGTTGAAATGGCCCAGGCTATAATACTTAAGTCAAACTAGAAATCTGTGCAAGTCATATCTGGAAGACGATTTGAAATCTTAAGCAGGAGCTCAGTAGACCTTCTTGAGAACAGCAGGGTATGTTGGTAGTCCAGCCTTCTCCAATGCAGTTCCCCTTCCATAATCTGTAGCCTTCTGTACCTTGGAATACAAACTCTAAGAACAGAGCCTTCTCTACTCATGCAAAATGCCAGGAATTAAAAGAGGCTCCTGCTTTAGGAAAAGAAAATCATTGGGGTTACAAATAAGGGAACACATAAACTAATTCACCCGAGGGCTAATTATTTACCAGAAAATAGGGCTCTGATCACTTTTCACTTCAAATAAGGGCTTCCCTAAAGGAGTTAGTTTCATTCCCCAAGACTTAAACAGCTTAGGATTTTGATAATTTTTGAAAGGCTTACTTTCTATCATACTGAAGGGATCAATAACTAAATTGGCAATATTAACTTCATAGCTTTAGAGCATGCACAGAGTTCTCTATAGCCAAGCTTCAATACTAACAG